TTCCTGCTGTAAGTGCTGTGTACTTTAATCATGAAATCTACCAGTGATCCTAGGATGGTTTAGTTAAAACTTTAATCATGTGGATTCTGGTTAAGTGGCTTAGGATGAGAAAACAATTAATTAATGGAAAATATTGCTCCTAGTCCTTGTCTGTACTCTATGCTGTATCATATAACAGAATATCCATGAAAACAATTATGTTTTTGTTAATATATATGCTATGCACAGGTGGACTTTATATGTATGCTGCTTTTTCTTCTTCTCAATTAGAAAATAAAGCAGTAGAATCTATTCATAAGTCAGACTCAATAGTTAAATGCATGCAGAACCTCAAACTTGAAGGTCTGTTTCTTTCATCTTCTGCCACAACCAATGTTAATCATGCCACAACATATCCTTTTAAAGTGATGCTAAGGTCCAGGACACTAACCATAAGCTATACTTGTGCCATTCTGTTCTTCTAACAGATGAACTTTTGGACCTTTACTTGAAGGAGACTTCACTTGCTAATGTCAAAATTAGCAATGAGGTGCAGAATCCATGTTTTCAACAGTCGCCTGAGGAAGAGATAATGGATAACAGGTGTTCCTCGTCTTGTAAACCGGTTTCCAGTTCTTGACTAAAATCATTTCCACTTTCACATGTTAATGCTTCTTGTCTGACAATTTCCGAGTCCAACAAGGCAAAGACTCCCACAAGTAGTTACTCGTTGTGTGACAAGTGTTTTTAATTGTCCAAATAAAAAAAAAATCAATAAAATCATCTCATGAAAAACAGTTTGAAAGATTATAATTTGGATACAACTTACTGTACATATATTTTCTTAGGTGTAATTAGTGTTCTTTAATAAAGTTTTACTTTCATAATATGTATTTGTAATTACATTTAATATAAATCTCATTAATATAAATTCATGCATATTATTGAAGAATAATATCAATCATATTTAAAAAATTATACATAAAAATTGTCTTTATAATTTTTTCATTTCAATTTTTTTTTTATGAAAATTAGTTTGTTTACAAAGAGAAAATATGTGTTCATGACAACGACTTGAATTTATAAACAATTTTTTTATAAAAAAATAATAAGTTACTTTTATGGAGTTAAAAATTTGAAACATGATTACTTTCAACATTTTTTTTTTATTCTTTTAAGCAGATTTACCACAGAATATTTTTGAATTCAAATGAAATTAAATATTTTTAAATAATTTTTTAGACTTATCTAAATAAAATTTTATTTTAATTATAACCCATTATAATAATAATTGATTTTTCATTTAATCAATTATTGAAATACTTTCTTTAGATTTTTATATAAGAAATAAATAACTAATTTATCAAATCAATCAAAAATAGTTAAGAGGGTTAGTTGTCATTAATAATGAAATAAAATTTATAAAATTAAATGTTATTACAAAAATATCCTTTAAATTGATTGATTTAAATAATAATAGCATTAAATGACACTACATATAATTTATGAGATAATTTTTCACTGATATATCTTGTATATTTATGCATCAATAAATATATCTACTTGAGTATAAAATAAAATTAACAATTAATATATCTTAAATATATATATATATATATATA